CAAAGCAAAACAAAAATCTATAACTAGATGCCTAATTATGAAACTGCATGAGACCCTTTAAAGAAAGAGGTGACTAATAATTCCATTTCACGGAATCTAAAATGCCACCAACTATAAAACATTATTTTAGGGGTGCCTGGGTGGCACAGTCAGTTAAGCATCTGACTCTTGGTTTCGGCTCAAGTCGTGGTCTCAGGGTTGTAGGATCAAGCCCTGTGTTGGGCTCCATGATCAGAGTAGAGTCTGCTTGGAGATCTCTCTCCCTCTGTCCCTCCCTTCCCCCACCTCCACTTTCTTTCTTAAATAAATAAATCTTTTAGAAAGACATTATTTTATGTGCTGCTAAGAAAAAACATTGCTGATTAAACTTTGCCAAGCCATCAACTGAAAGAGACACATTCTGATTTCATAAATGTTAAAATATGGGAAAAGATGAGTTTTAGAATCAATAAAATATAGAACATAAAAATAATGAACAAAACCATAAACTAGTATAACAGAAGTGAGACCAAACATCATATCAGCATATGTAAATAGGCTTAACTCACCTAGTAAGAGGAAAAGGACTTTCGGAAGATACCACAAAGCAAAACTCAACAACATGTTGTGTACAAGAGACACATCTAAAACAAAGAGGTTCTGGGGCGCCTGGGTGGCTCAGTGGGTTAAGCCACTGCCTACGGCTCAGGTCATGATCTCAGGGTCCTGGGATCGAGTCCCGCATCAGGCTCTCTGCTCAGCAGGGAGCCTGCTTCCCTCTCTCTCTCTCTGCCTACCTCTCCGTCTACTTGTGATCTCTCTCTGTCAAATAAATAAACAAAATCTTTAAAAAAAATAAATAAAACAAAGAGGTTCTGAAAAGCTAAAAAGGGATGGGCAAAGTTACACCAAGGGAATATAGGCAAGAAGAAAGCAAGGGACTTGGACTCCCTTCTTCCGACATGATGGAATAATGCAAGACCAGATTTATCCCTTCACTTTAAACAACTAAAAAAATTGGGTAAAATATATAAAGACAACATTTTTTAGACCTCAGACAACAAAGAGCATTAAGAAACTGATCACTGGGGCACCTGGGTGGCTCAGTTGGTTGAGCAACTGACTCTTGGTTTCAGCTCAGGTCATGATCTTGGGGGTCCTGGGATCAAGCCCCGCATTGGGCTCTGCAGTCAGTGGGGAGTCTGCTTGGGATTCTCTCTCTCCCTTTGCCCTTCCCCGCCAAATGAATAAATAAATCTTTATAAAATAGAGAGAGAGACTGATCATTAAGAGAAAGGCAACAAATAAGGTGAGCCCACCTATTGCTTCAAGCTTACTTCCCAGGGAGAATTTTCAGGATCTGGTGTAAGGAAAGGGTATCCAATCAGAGCCCTGCAGTCTCCCAGAATTGAGGAGACAAGGTTCACAGTCCAGGGTTGCCCAGGGGCTACATGGTATGGGGCAGAATACCAGAGAGAAGAGAGCTGCACAGAGATTTCATCAGTAAATGCATATAAAGTGTGCCAGTCATTGACTTCTTGCCTCACATCTCCAAATTCATTCCTTTCGGCCTCTATGAAAATTACCCAGGCCCTTTAATTTGTTTTCTTTTGCAGGTGACTGGGTGGCTCAGTTGGCTCAGGTCGTGATCCCAGGGTCCTCAGATCAAGGACCACGTCGGGCTCCCTGCTCAGCAGAGAGCTTGCTTCTCCCTCTCCCTCTGCCTGCTGCTCCCCCTGTTTGTGCATGCATCTGCTCCCTCTCTCAAATAAATAAAATCTTTTTTAAAAAATTGTTTTCCAGGGCACCTGGGTGGCTCAGTGGGTTAAAGCCTCTGCCTTAGGCTCGGGTCATGATCCCAGGGTCCTGGAATCAATTCCCACATCGAGCTCTCTGCTTAGCAGAGATCCTGTTTCCCCCTCTCTCTCTGCCTGCCTCTTTGCCTACTTGTGATCTCTGTCTGTCAAATAAATAAATAAAATCTTAAAAAATTTTTAAAAAAATAAAAAATTGTTTTCCTTTGCAAGAAGGCGTTGAATGAAGTGTTGCCAGTAGAGGGCGCTGGAAAGACATTACCAGGGAGAAGAGTTTGGTTTTCTGGTTGAGGGGAGCTCTGGCTCCAGGCTCCTGCTCCAGTTTCTCCAGTGAACACAACCTCTAAAGAATTAATGGATCCATGTGTCTCAACAAAAAGAGAGACAAAAAGACATCAGGGTTGGGGTGGGAGGGAGGGATGAATAGGCAGAAGGAAGAACACGGATTTGTAGGGCTGTGAGACTACTCAGTAGGATACCCTTACAGTAGGTATGTGTCATTATACATTTGTCCAAACCCATAAAATGTACAACACCAAGAGTGAACCCTACTGAAAACTGTGCTCTCTGGGCGATAATGCTGTGTCAATGTAGGTTTATCATTTGTAACAAATGCACCACACTCTGGTGAGTGATACTGATCATGAGGGAGGCTATGCACGTGGGGGAGGGCAAGGGGTCCATGGGAAAATCTCTGTACCTGCCTCTCAATTTTTCTCTGAACCTAAAACATCTAAATAATAAATCTATTTTTTGGGGGGGGGTGGGGGGAGCCTGGGTGGCACAGTTGGTTAACTGTCTGACTCTTGGTTTCAGCTCATGGTCATGGTCTCAGGGTCATGGGATCTAGCCCCAAGTCAGGCTCCACACACAGCACAGAATCAGCTTGTCCCTCTCCCTCTACCCCCCCCCAAACTTTCCCCCTTTTCTCTTTCTCAAGTAAATAAAATCTTAAAAATAATAATAAATTCATTTGTTAAAAAGGAGACGTCATTTGCCTCTTGAAAGAGCACACCACTATCTTATCTCATCAAGAGATCAAACTTGAATCTGATCAAGCCAGTGGATCCATCTGCCAATTTGCAAGAACTAAAAGACAGAGAACATGCAGCCTTGTTTGGATGAATGATACAGGGATAGACAAAAGGATAGACATGGGATAAATCAAATATTTTAAAATGCTAATTTGGGGCACGTTGCTGGCTCGGTTGGAAGAGCATGCAACTCTTGATCTTGGAGTCATGAGTTCGAGCCCCTGTTGGGTGTACAGATTACTTAAATAGAACTGTAAAAAAAATTAAAACGCTCATGATAGAATATAGGTACTGGGGTGCCTGCATGGCTCAGTGGGTTAAGCCTCTGCCTTCAGCTCAGGTCATGATCTCAGGGTCCTAGAATCAAGCCCTACATTGGGCTCTCTGCTCAGTGGGGAGCCTGCTTCCTCCTGTCTCTCTCTCTCTCTCTGCCGCTTGTGATCTCTATCTCCATCAAATAAATAAATAAAATCTTATAAAAAAAAGAATCTAGGTACTGCATATATGAGTGTCCACTACATATTGAATTAAGCTTTTCTATGTGTTTGAAATTGCTCATAATAAAAGATTTTAAAAAGATATATGAGGGGTGCCTGGGTGGCTCAGTCGGTTAAGCATCTGTCTTCAGCTCAGGTCAAGATCTCAGGGTCCTTGGATCGAGCCCCACATCAGGCTCCCTGCTTAGTGGGGAGCCTGCTTCTCCCTTTCTCTCTGCCTGCTGTTCCCCATGCTTGTGCTCTCTCTGTGTCAAATGAACAAACAAATAAATAAAGTCTTTAAATTTTTTTTTAATCTAAAAATCTTCAAAAAAACATTTAGGGGTGCCTGGCTGGCTCAGTCAGAAGAACATGTGACGCTTGATCTTGGGGTCCTGAGTTCCAGCCCCAGGATAGGTGTAGAAATGACTAAGGCTAAATAAACTAAAAAAGTTTAATAGATAAATAATAAGTCCCTCAAATTTGACCAAAATCACCAAGATGGTGCATAAATGATTGAAATTTCAGAAGTACTGCACTTTTCTCTGGAAAGAAACAGTTAAGTGCACCATCAGTTAGACAACTAAGGCAGAAACTAGGCAGCCACCCTACACTCTTCCTTCTCCTGTCCCTTTTGTCCCCGTCACTGACCCACATCAAGTCACCATACAGAAAACAGATCAAAAGCAGTGCTGTCCTGGTGGAGCCCTTTCACGTCCGTTCGGCCCCTTAGTCATGCTCCATGGCAGCCCAAGACACTCCTGCTAGTCTGGGGCCTGGTAGGAGACTGCCTGAGAACTGCAAGGCAGAACGGTGTGATTGGGACACCCAAGCTAGAAAGATCAGAGCTGGAGTCCACTTTTGCCATGTAACTAGCCGTACGCCTCTAGTCATGCCACAGCCTCTCGGAGATTGAGTCTCACGTTCTGTAAAATGGCAGCAGTGGATCCCAGCAACAAGGCCATTCTCAGGATGAAATCAATCACTGTCTAAAGCAATATAATATCGCTCCTGGCCCGTAAGAGGCTTTCAATACGATTCTCCTTACCATTGCACACAGGACCCCCCTCCATGACCTGGCTTCTGCCTACCCCCCGTTTTAGCTTCATCTCTAGCTGTAATTTCCAAACCCCAAAACTTATGCTGATAGACATGCTCGACTCCTCACAGTCCCCCAATCACATCATCCTGCTTCAGACTTTCAAGCTCTTTTTTTTATTTATTTATTTGACACAGAGAGAGAGATCACAAGTAGGCAGAGAGGCAAGCAAAGAGAGAGGGGGAAGCAGGCTCCTCGAAGAGCACAGAGCCCTACGCGGGGCTCGATCCCAGGACCCTGGGATCACAACCTGAGCCGAAGGCAGAGGCTTAACCCACTGAGCCACCCAGGTGCCCCGACTTCCAAGCTCTAGATCACATTGATCTCCCTCCTAGAAATGCTCACCCACCCATTTATTTCGCAAATACTTTTTCATTCCCTCCATTATATCCTCCTTGTCCCTTTTCTACAGGGCCACCTCCTTACTCAGGACTGGGAACTTCGAGAGGACAGAGACCATACCTACTTGAGTTTGTATTCCCAACACCTAGCCCAAAACCTAGAAGATGGTAGGTGTCCCATTAATGTTTGCTAAGTGACTATAACAGAAAGCAAATTATAAGCAACTTATATCCTATAGTAAGTTCTCAACACTTACGCGGATAGCGCAAGCATCTTTTGCTGCGCCATCATTGGTAATAAAACATCCTATCGGAAATCCTGTTGTGCAGTACTTTCCATCCTCAATAACGTGACACCATATTACTGGCATATTATCAATAATCCTAAATATAAATATTTTAAAAATAAAAGATTTAACAAGCATGCATGCCACACCAAGCAATACCAACATCATCTTGCATATATTTAGTTCAAATTTGAATTCAAAGTCACAAAAAATAGTCTATAATTTCAAGTATCAATTAAAACTACTTTTTTTTAAAAAACTACTGAAAGGACTTAAAATTTTTAATCAAAGTCACAAAAATAGTGTACAATTTCAAGTACTAAAACTACTTTTTTTTATAAAAAACTACTTCTGAAAGGACTTAAAAAATTAAGTCATGTTATCTCAGTGTTATCGCAAACCTACCAGTGATGTTGATAACTTAGTTGTATCCCTTTCTTCAAAAAAGCCAGCTTTTTCTTGGGGTCGTCATTTCCTTTATCGTAGGATTTTACACAGACTTTTTTACACGTTTCTGTCTTGTTAAAAGAAAACTGTTAAGAAAGATTTAAAATAATAAAAGATTTGACTACATTTTAGAAAACAAGTGTCCCAAAATAAGCACTTTACCTTACAGATAAAACTTGTTCTCAGAGATTTCAGTATGCCATCAGCCTCAACACTCTCTCCTTTGAGTTTCAATTCATACCTGAAATGATTACACTACACACACACGCACACACGCGCACACACATACACAATATGCTTTCACCACTAAGCAGAAGAATTTGCCTTCTTCAATAACACATAAGGTGGGATATAATATCCACTGTAACTTCCTAAGACCACCCTGATATGGAACCCTTCACTTAAAAGTGGTAACAAAATTGATTTTAGTGATGGTCACACAATGCTCTGAATATACTAAAAAAAATTAAGTCAAAGGGGCGCCTGGGTGGCTCAGTCAGTTAAGCGTCTGCCTTTGGCTCAGTCCATGATCCCAGGGTCCTGGGATCGAGTTCCGCATCAAGCTCCTTGCTCAGCGGGGAGTCTGCTTCTCCCTCTCCCACTCCCCACCCCCGGCTTATACCCTCTCTCAAATAAATAAAATCTTTAACAAACAGAAAATAAAAAATAAACGTTAAATCAGATACTTCAAGGGGTGCCTGGCTGACTCAGTCAATGCAGCATGCAACTCTTGATCTCTAGGCTGTGAATTCAAGCCCCACCTTGGGTGTAGAGCTTACTTTAAAAAAATGGCCACTTTGTGCTCGCTTCGGCAGCACATATACTAAAAAAAAAAAAAAAAACATGGCCACTTCAAGTGGGTGAATTCTTTGGTATGTGAATATTTCTCAATAGAGCTGTTAATAAAAAAGTGATAATAAAATATTTCATACTTTTAATATGAAACCTCTTATTTACAAAGTCTAGCTATCAAGGATTATCAGGACGAAGTACCAGTGTTACTAATCAGGAAATAATGAGCAAGAATAAACTATGAAAAAGAGTTATAGTAAGGACCTCATACCCTGAAATCATACAAATATTAACCAAAAAGTTCCCTATTGGCAGCTGAGAAGAACACTGTCATTTTCTTTCTTCCTATCTTTCTTTCTTTCTCTCTTTCTAGTACTGTTATGTTCTTCATTTCAAGGGACAGCACCCCTTGAAAAAGTTCCCTTTTTTGTTAGGACAATGGTACCTCACGGAGGTATTTTGTGCAACTTTAATTATCAAAAAGCTAATGCCTGGGGCCCCTGGGTGGCTCAGTGGGTTAAAACCTCTGCCTTCAGCTCAGGTCATGATCCCAGGGTCCTGGAATCGAGCCCCAAATCAGGCTCTCTGCTCAGCAGGGAGCCTGCTTCCCTCTCTCTCTCTCTGCCTGCCTCTCTGCTTACTTGTGATCTCTGTCTGTCAAATAAATAAATAAAATCTTAAAAATTTTTTTTTAAAAAAGCTAATGCCTGACACACAGACCAAAGAAACAGATCAACAGAGAACCCAGAAATAGAACTCTACAACTATGCCTGTGTGATTTTTTTGACAAACATGCAAAAGCAACTCAGAGAAGGAACGACAGTCTTTTGAACAGATAGTGTTGAAGCAACTTGACTTCTACATGCCAAAAAAAAACCTAAAAAGCAAAACCAAAAAAATTCTGTAATTTCAATCCAAACCTCATACCTGATACAAAATAATTCAAAAATGATCACAGACTTAAATATATAAATATAAAAGTTTCAGAAGGAAACATAAAAGAAAATCTTCAAGACCTAAAGGCTTATGTCATGTGTCCTTAGACTAGACACCAAAAACACAATCCATAAAAAGGAAATTTGATTACTGGACCTCATAAAAATTAATGTTTGCTCTGTGGAATACTCTGTTAAGAAGATGAAAACACAGGGCACCTGGGTGGCTCAGAGGTTAAGTAAGTGTCTACCTTTGGCAGTCCCAGGATCCTGGGATCAAGACCCAGAAAAACTGCTTCTCCCTCTTCCACTCCCCCTGCTTGTGTTCCCTCTCTTGCTGTGTCTCTGTCAAATAAATAAATAAAATCTACAAAAAAAAAAAAAAAAAAAAAAGATGAAGACACAGGGGTGCCTGGCTGGCCCAGTTTGTAGAGCACACTATTCTTGATCTCAGAGTCATGAGTTTGAGCCTCAAGTTGAGTATAGAGATTATTTAAAAATAAAATCTTGGGGCGCCTGGGTGGCTCAGTGGGTTAATCCGCTGCCTTCGGCTCAGGTCATGATCTCAGGGTCCTGGGATCGAGTCCCGCATCAGGCTCTCTGCTCAGCAGGGAGCCTGCTTCCCTCTCTCTCTCTCTGCCTGCCTCTCCGTCTACTTGTGATCTCTCTCTGTCAAATAAATAAATAAAAATCTTAAAAAATAAATAAATAAAATAAAATAAAATCTTAAAAAAAAAAGATGATAGAAACAAAAGCTACAGACTGGTAAAAAACTATTTGTAAACTACTGCCCTAACAAAGGAATCACACCTAGAATATATAAGGAATTCTGAAAACTCAATAGTAAAGGTACAAACAATCCAAATATAAAATGGGTAAAAGAGGAGACAGGGGGCCTGGGTGGCTCAGTCGGTTAAGCATCTGCCTTCAGCTCAGGTCATGATCCCGGGGTCCTGGGATCAAGCCCCCCACATCAGGCTCCCTGCTCAGAGGGGAGTCTGCTTGTCTCTCTCCCTCTTCCTCTCCCCCTGCTTGTGTTCCCTCTGTCTCTCTCTCTCTCCCAAATGAATAAATAAAATCTTTAAAAAAATAAATTAAATGAGTGAATAAAAATCCTTAAAAAAAAGTTTAAAAGAAGCTAATCCCCAATGGTTTCACAAGAGTATACATAAATTAATATTGAGCAAACTACATACTTTTTTTAAAAAGTTTTATTTAAGTAATCTCCATACCCCATGCAGGGCTCAAACTCACAGCCCTGAGACCAAGAGTTGCATGCATCTCTGACTGAGCTAGCCAGTTGCCCCCAAACAATACACTTTCAATATGTGCAGTGTATTGTACTTCAAGTAGACTTCAATGAATTTGGAAAAAAAGAAGAAAAAAGTTAATGCCTTCATAATCATAACTGCTTATGAAAACATCCCTACTCTATCCCCATATCTATTAAGGTACTGAAGGCAAAATCAATACACAATGACAGTCCAATGACATCTGCTTATACCACCTTACCCAAAATATGTAGGGACAATAAAGGAAACTGTTTTTCTTTACAAAGCAAAAAAAAAAAAAATTTGAAAGGCAAAATGTTCATGTGGAACCACTCCCTACTGCAGATAGTTCAAAGAGCACATATTCAGGCATTCTTCCGACAATACCACAACCTATCTCCTTTCCTTTTTCTCTGCCTCCTTCTAAAACAGACTTTTTGTGGGGCGCCAGGGTGGCTCAGTCGGTTAGGCTCGGGTCATGATCCCAGGGTCCTGGGATCAAGTCCTGCATCAGGCTCCCTGCTTGGCAGGAAACCTGCTTCCCCCTCCCCCACTCCCCCTGCTTGTGTTCCCTCTCTTGTTGTGTCTCTCTCTGTCAACTAAATAAAATCTTTAAAAATAAAATAAAAATATAACAGACTCTTTGCTACAATTTTAAGTAGCCAGTTCTGAAAAAATTCCATTTAAAACAATATTATATAAGATCCACTGAATAACCTTATAGGGAGATGATGTTATTCGTTCTCCGAATAGTACTTGTCCGAGATTTTCAGAAGGGTTTTTCTTCCCAGAGGCTTGACAGAAGTCAAAGCTAGAGGGAAAGTTCAAGGAAGGTTAAAAAAAAATCAGCAAAGAAATTAATCTTTGTAATATGTCAAGCCTCTCCACTGTTAATGGTAGATACTTCTAAAAACATGACCCAGAAGGTGTCTAATTATGATTTATAGACCTCATTATTTTAAACTGTTTAACCTCTTATAACTATGAATTCATTATTTAAAATGCTTATGGTACTGCTCTTGACTTTTATAATGTAGGTAATCATAATCTTAATAAAACTCACAGTATCTTCAGGGTTAAACTTCAAATTACATTTTTTAAAAAGCAAAGAATAGTTTAAAATCTGTACTAATTCTAACCTGAGACATTTAGAAAAACTGCTGTTATCAGTTCTGATCAAAGGGGAACTTAAACAACAAAATCCCTTTTCAAATACAGGCCCATAGACTCACAAATCAAATGGTTACCACATGGAAAGAATCACAACTGCCTTTAAGCAAATGTGAATATATAAAATTAAATATAAAATGGTAAGAGAGAAAATCAATGGTAGGCACGTGTAATATTTTAAATGCTCGTGCTAACACCCTATGTCTAAATGTGGTATTTTAATGAAAATTAGACCTGGTTTTATTTCTGTTTAATTAGTGGAAATAAAGTAATACCAGAGAGAGCTACAATCATTTTTCTAAGAAGTGTAGCATTTGTTGCTATTCTCAAATGACTGATCTTAATCTTGATTATATGATACTGGCCCAATACTAAACTAAGCACTTGCATCCATTAAAAGCCTTAGTAGGGGAGCACCTGGGTGGCTCAGTGGGTTAAAGCCTCTGCCTTTGGCTCAGGTCATGATCCCAGGGTCCTGGGATCAAGCCCTGTATTGGGCTCTCTGCTTAGCAGGGAGCCTGCTTCCTCCTCTCTCTCTGCCTGCCTCTCTGCCTCCTTGTGATTTCTGTCTGTCAAATAAATAAACAAAATCTTTTTAAAATAAATAAATAAATAAATAAATAAAAGCCTTAGTAGAAACTTCCCTATCCCATGTTTTAAAAATAAACTACACTTCTGCAATGATTTTTTTGAAGTTCAAAATATAGTAGATTTATAATTTGTTTTCCTTACAAAAATCAAGTATGGCAACTTCCTAAATTTTTAAGCATTTGCCTCACACTGAAAGCACTCTGTTTTAATTTTGTTCCTGTTACTTTTATTACAAAATTGCCACCATATTTGTTAATATATCCAGGGCTTTCATTCACTGTCTTTAAAAATTTAAAACACCTTTAACACAATAATATTATAATTATGATGTAACTGCAGTAATATCAATTATATCAGATACAATGACAATACTTATAACTTACGTATTATATTCATAAGGCAGGACAGATTCTGTTGAGTCCAATCTATTTACAAATAGTGCTATTGACGACTACAAAAAGAAAGAAAACACTAATTAATAACACAAAATAAAAAAGGTAGCACTTGCAAAATACATAACAAAGTGAAAAGTAATTGGGTCTATTGCTCCCATCAGTGTATGACTGTGCAATTATAAATTTATAACTTAGCACAGTGTTATACATGTATAACAATATGGTTATAAATTTTTAACACAGTACAGCTATAAATTCATAACATTTCATTTAGGTGGCATCATCGGAGTCTCTGAAAACATCAATTTTTCAGACATCTCAGCCATTCTTAACCTTTTTTAATTATAGAACCCTTTGAGAATGTGATGAAAGCTATGGGCCCTCTCCCCCAAAAAGCACACATACTCACCAAAGTCTCTGTTCAGGTTTCAGAGGCTTCATAGGGCCTCTGGAGTCCACGGAATTCAGGTTAAGAACTTGAGATAATTAAAGCTACCTGCGTAAGAGCTCTCCTTGTATCATTTTAACCATTTTTATAAGAATCATTCTAAAATACACTTCATTCTTTCCTATCTTAAACAGAACATGGTGATCACAATTCAACCTTCCTTGATGGCTCAGGGTTATTTTGAACATCGATCCTTGTACCAGCTTTGACTCTGTGACATCCTCAGGATCAAACTAAGTGAACACTATTTGCCCCAAAACTACACTGCGATAGATGGTACCCACACCCCTACTACCCACACCCCTCACCCCTACCAAAGAGCTTCAACTTCTTTGTATAGATTTTACGTCTTTCTTTTCAGCTGTCAGTTGTCGTGATGCCTCTTCTCCCTTCTTCTCCCTTCTTCTCCCACCCTCGATCTGCTAGAGAGCAAGCCCTCAACTTGTAGAATAAATCACAGATTTGTTAAAACTAAATCAAAAAGACTGAGAGCATGAGGGTTAGTGCATGAGCATTAGGGTATCTATTCTGGCTTTTCACAGGATACTTCCATTTACTTCCCTGGATCTCAGCTAGGGTCTTGATAATCTACAAGATAGGGTTGGGTTTTTTTTGTTTTGTTTTAAGTAGGCCCCATGCCCAGCATGGAGCACTATGTGGGGCTTGAACTCATGACCCTGAGATCAAGACCTGAGCTGAGATCAAGGGTCAGACACCTGACTGAGCCCCCCAGGTGCCCCCAAGATAGGATTTTTATTTTTTTTTTTAAATATTTTATTTATTTGACACAGAGAGATCACAAGTAGGCAGAGAGGCAGGCAGAGAGGGGGGGGGGGAAGCAGGCTCCCTGCGGAGCAGAGATCCCGACGTGGGGCTCCATCCCAAGGACCCTGGGATCATGACCAGAGCCGAAGGCAGAGGCTTTAACCCACTGAGCCACCCAGGTGCCCCAAGATAGGGTTTTTAAAAAGACTAAAACAGCAGAACTTTAGTGAACATTATTCTTGTTCAAAATTCCATAAACTGTTTTTTTTTTTCTAACTGAACATCTGCTATCATCTTTACCATAAGGTTAGATTTTTTTTTAAGAGGATGTAGAAAATCATCAAGTTTGGGACAAATATAAACAGCGTTACTGTAACTCTGTAAGAGTATTGTATCTGTACTTAATGAAACCTTGTCAGAAATTCAGCAACAGCAACATATATCAGTTAGAGTTTTATAAAGGTGAATAGGGAAAAGCGAAGGACAACAGATAATTAAGGATAATAGTTCTCATCTAGAATCCCAAAACACAACATACATAGATTCATATTTTAAAATGCATATCTGGGGTGCCTGGGTGGCTCAGTGGGTTAAAGCCTCTGCTTTCGGCTCAGGTCATGATCCCAGGGTCCTGGGATCGAGCCCCACATCGGGCTCTCTGCTCTGCGGGGAGCCTGCTTCCTCCTCTCTCTCTCTGCCTGCCTCTCTGCCTACTTGTGATCTCTGTCAAATAAATAAATAAAGTCTTTAAATGCATATCTGGAGCTTACTACATTTAAAAGAACCTTAATGGTTTCACAAGTCAAGTGAAGAAAAGAGAAATTATTCAATAATGGTGTTAAGATAACTGGTCAATGATCTGGGGGGGAAAAAGTTAAGCTGGATACTTACCTAATACATATACCAGGAAATATCAATATTATTTATTAAAATTTAAACCATAAAAGTAATAGAAGGAGCCATGGGAGAATAATTTTATAATCTTGGATGGCTTGGTTAAGACCTTTCAAAACAGGGCACAAAAGTCAGAAAACAAAAAAATTTTTGATATCTTAGAATAAAAGCCAATTTTTCTAAACGGCAAAAAAACAAAAACAAAAACAAAATACAATAAACAAAACCAAAAGACAACTGACAAACTTGGGAAAAGAATGTCACAGATAAAGGACTAGTTTCCTGATTTAAGAGTGTCCACAGAACCAAAAAAAAGTGTCCACAAATCAATTTTTTAAATGTCCAACCTTACAGAAAAATGAACAAAGAATATATAGATAGTTCACTATAAGAAAATACAAGTTGTTTTTATTTATATGAAATGATTCTCAATTTTAAAAAAGACTCCTGATAACACCAACATAAATTAAAACCATAAGACACAATTTTTCACCCATAAAATTGTCAAAGATCTAAAAGTTTGACAACACTTTGTCAAGCTGTGGAGAAGCAGGCACTCTCACACACTGTCTGCGGAAGTGTAAATTAATGCAACCTCCGTGGAAAGCAATTTGAGGATATCAAAATTGCTAAGTGCATCTATTCTTTGACCCAGCAATTGCATTCCTAGGAATTTATTCTATGGATATTCTCATATGCAACAATGTTTCGTAAGATCAAGAGTATAGAAACAAGCTAAATACATACATAAGGGACTATGTAAATCCAATATATAACATCCTTATAATAGAATGATATACCATTAAAAAAGAACAAGGGTGTTCTTTATATAATGATATAAAGTGATCTCTAAGCTATATCATTAAATTATAAAGGCACCTGAAGGGGAGAACAGTATGCTCCCATTTGTGTTAAAAAAAAAAAAAGGAGGAAAAAATTATATAAACACATATTTGTTCATTTAATCAAGAAATCCCTGGCAGGATATGAGAAACTGACGATATTGGTGCTCTTCAGGGAGGGATACTATGTGACTAAAAGACCCAGGTAGATGAGACCTTCACAGGGAAAACTTCTTATCTGACTGTATCTTTCTATATTATTCTAAGTGAGATCATTACAATCAAGGGGATGAACAGTTTCAAAGACTTTGATGTATATTTCAAATTGCTTTCCAAAGGGTTCAAGTCTAACTATTAAACCAATCTGAATGCCATCACAAGGCAGCAAAGAGACAAGTCCAGGTGGAGGGGTATTGTACAGGAAAAACAGACTGATCCCTTTTATAAATTAATGTTATGAAAAGAAAAAGCAGGGACTGTGCTTAATGAAAAGAATCATAGACTATAATAAAGAGATGCAATTTGTGGTCCTAGATTGGATTCTGATTTGGTTATTTCAGGGATAGCTAAGGAAATCTATGAACTTGGTAATACATGAGATAAAAATGTATTCATGTGGAAAAAATCTGTCAGTGTGGAAAGATAGAGTTGTTAATAGAAAAGTGTAGGTTATGGGATGGTTAAGCGTCTGCCTTTGGCTCAGGCTCAGATCATGATTCCAGGGTCCTGGGATCCAGTCCCACCGGGGCTCCTTGCTCAGCAGGGAACCTGCTTCTCCCTCTGCCTGCCACTCCTCCTGCTTTGGCTCACTCTCTCTCTGACAAATAAATTTCAAAAATCTTAAAAAAAAAAAAAGGAGAGAAACAAGGCATTGATTAAAAAAAAGAAGAAAGAAAAGTGCAGGTTACAAAAAAACATGGATACCATCATTTTATGTAGGTAAAAAATGCATATGGACTTCCATTCATTGCTAGTGGGAATACAAAATGGTACAGCCACTTTAGAAGAAGCTTGGCAATTTCTTTAAAAAAACTAAATATAGGGGCGCCTGGGTGGCTCAGTGGATTAAGCCTCTGCCTTCGGCTCACGTCATGATCTCAGGGTCCTGGGATCAAGCCCCGCATCAGATCTCTGCTCAGCGGGGAGCCTGCTTCCCCCCCCTCTCTCTGCCTGCCTCCTCTCTGCCTACTTGTGATTTCTCTCTGTGTCAAATAAATAAATAAAATCTTTTTTTAGAAAAAAGGAAAAAAAGAAGAAAAAAACTAAATATACTCTTAATATACAATCTAGCAGTGATACACCCTGGTATTTGCCCAGAGGAGTTGAAAACATAAATCTACCCAAAAACCGGCACAATGTCTATAGCAGCTTTGTTCATCAATGTGAAAACTTGGAAGCAACCAAGATGTCTTTAGTAGATAAATATATGAATGAATTGTGGTACATCCAGATAACAGAATATTCAAAACTGAAAAGCAATGAACCATTAAGCCATGAAAAGACACAGAGGAACCCTAAATGCATATTACTAAGTAAAAGAAGCAAGTCTGAAAAGTCTACGTACTGTATGATTCCAACTATAAGACATTCTGGAAAAGGCAAAATTATGAAGACAGTAGATAGATCAGTGGTTGCCAGGGATTAAGAGAGGGACAGATAATAGCAGAGAGCATAGAGAATGTATAAGGCAGTGAAATTACTCTATATGATATTATAATGATGGATACATGTCATTACACATTCCTCCAAACTTCACCAAGGGTGAACTGTAATGTAAACTATGGGCTTTGGGTGGCAATGATGTGTCAGCCCAGGTTCATCAACTATAAGGAATGTAACACTCTGGTAGGGGCTGTTGATGAAGAAGGCTAGGCATGCGTGGGGGCAGGGCTATATGGGAACTCCACTTTCTGCTCGATTTTGCTGTAAACCTAAAACTGCTCTAAAAAATTTTAAAACTCTATTAAAAATACACATGTGAGGTACCTGGGTGGCTCAGTTGGTTAAGCAACTGCCTTCAGCCCAGGTCATGATCCTGGAGTCCCAGGATCAAGACCCGCATCAGGTTCCTTGCTCACTTGGGAATCCACTTCTCCCTCTGACCCTCTCCCCTCTCATACCCTCTCTCTCTCTCTCATTCTCTCTCTCAAATAAATAAATAAAATCTTTAAAAAATACACATGTGGGTATGAGTATGTGTAGAAAAAAATCTAGAACATATGGTAAGATAGTAATAGCAGTAATTCTCTAGTTATTAGAAATGTTTTTCTTATTTTTGCCTATCTGCATTTTCTAGTCATCTATCATGCATGCTACTGCTTTTGTAATAGCAAAAGTTTCAAAACTAAAAAAAAAAAAAAAAAAAAAAAAAAAAAACCAAGGGGCTGGATGCTACCAAATGAAGTAAGTTTAGAGTGTTAAACCTAAAAATGAGAGATTCACCAAAAGAAGAAGGCAAAAACTCAGAATAAAAAGTAGAAACATGTAGGGATGCAAGTAACAACCCAAAAAGAAAAGAGCTTATGGAAAAATTCCAGATATTTGTTATGGTTAAAGATCATGTTTCTTTGCTAGGAAGCCTGATGAAATAAAGAACAGAGATTCAGGATGAGGAACTACCAGAGAAAAGGCAGACATAAAAATATTTTGTAAATGCCATTTCCTACATTACACGTGTTTGGCAAGATGTTGGCTCAAAACGTTACCATCAAAACTTCACACAGGAGGGGCGCCTGGGTGGCTCAGTGGGTTAAAGCCTCTGCCTTCGGCTCGGGTCATGATCCCAGGGTCCTGGGATCCAGCCCCACATCCGGCTCTCTGCTCAGCGGGGAGCCTGCTTCCTCCTCTCTCTCTGCCTGCCTCTCCGCCTACTCGTGATCTCTGTCAAATAAATAAATAAAATCTTAAAAAAAAAAAAAAAAAAAAACTTCACACAGGAAAAGGCAAGTTCCAGGTTTTAAGGGCAAACTTGCTGCCCCAAAACTGACCTTTAAAAAACACTGGAAAATGGGACACGTGGGTGGCTCAGTCGGTTAAGTAGCTGCCTTTGGCTCAGGTCATGATCCCAGTGTCATGGGATCAAGTCCCACATCTGCCTCCTTGCTCATCAGGGAGCCTGCTTCTCCCCCTACCTGCAGCTCCCCCTGCTTGTGCCCTCTCTGATAAATAAAATTTTAAAAATAAAACAAAACACCCTGGAACTTTCAAGTTGGTTAAGTCTATAGTTAAACCACACCCAGCACTGTTCTCAACTTCCCAGTGCCTTTGTGGTGCCCTATGACAGAACACTACCCCATTCACTAAATTAGGCAACTAGGAGTCAGAAAAATAAGTCTTATTCATTAGTATCTTTTGAAGTGATTACTTGCCCCCCCCCAAAAAAAGTACAACACACAACCTTTTTTGGACTCAGCTTAGTTACAGAAACCAGGCTGCTGAAGAAATGAGTCAGGAAATTATTGGAGAACTTCAAGAGGACAGACACCTTGGCCTCAGTGGGAGGAGCATGCAACTCTTGATTTTGAGGTCTTGAGTTCAAGCCCCAGTTGGGTGTAGAGATGACTTAAATAAACTTTAAATAAAAAAATCTCTGCCTAAAGAAAACGAATAATGATAATAGTTACCATTTATGGAAAGCTGACTAAGCTTACTAAGCGCCAGGTATAGTTGTCAGTGCTTTTCATACATTGTCTCATTTTATCCTCTCAAGTCTGAGAGGTAAATAATACCTTGATGTTTACAGGCAAAGGGCCTAGGGGATACAAAAGTGCATTAACAAGAATTAGGGAGGTAACAAGCAGGCTGCTGGAGGAGTTAAGAATGACAGAAAAGGAAACATGGTGGGGTTGCGTCTAAGACCACAGTGAGGCGGATAGGGGGATGGGTGAAATAGCTGATGGGAACTAAGCATTGTACTTGTGACGAGCTCCTGGTCTTTGTATGGAAGTGTTGAATCACTAAATTCTACACCTGAAGCTAATATAACACTGCATGTGAACTCACTGGAATTTAAATCAATTTTTTTAAAAAAGACCATGGTGAGTGTGTGGGAGAGAGTACAAGGGAGACAACAGGAAACGGAAGAAGAGAGCAAGAGGAAAGAGCCCAGGCGACGGGAGGAAAGAGCCCAGGCGGCGGAAGGAAAGGAGCTGCGACAGAAGAGGAGGAGCTAAGTGGAGGAGCAGCCAATAGGGAGGGAGGAGCTCAGAGGAAGGAGGAACAGAAGGAGCTAAGAAGGGCGGTGGAGAAGCACTGCGGAAAGGAGGAAGCAAGGGCTGCCTGGGTGGCTTAGCCGTTAGGCATTTGCCTGCAGCTGGGGTCATGATCCCCGCGTCCTGGAATCGAGCCCTGCATGGGGCTCCCTGCTCGGTGGGAAGCCTGCTTCTCTCCCATTCCCCCTGCTCGTGTTCCCTCTCTGTCTCACTCTCTCACTCTCTCTCTCTCTCTCTCTGTCAGATTAAAAAAAAAATCTTCAAAAAAAAAAAGGGGAGGAAGAAAGGGGGCGGGCCCAGAGGGAAAAGAAAGAGGGAGGGGTGGAGCCAGGCAAAAAGGGCGGGACCCAGGGGGGAGATTGGAGGGAAGGGGTGGGGCTAAATGGGAGGGTGGGCGGGGGCTAGGTGAAGGGTGGGCGGGGCTACTGGGGAGGGAGGGGCTACGAGGGAAGTGGGGAAGGGAGGGGCCCAGGCACCGGGGCGGGGCCTAGAGGGAGGTGAGGGGAGGGACTGCGAAGGTAGAGGAGCAAGGGAGGGGCGGGGCGGGGCGGGGCGGGGCGGGGAGGGAGGAGAAGAGGAAACGCTGAGATGAAAGGGAGGGAGCCAAGAGAAATGGGGGAAAGGGAGGAGCTATGAGGACTGAGGAAGAGCTGAGCCGGAGTTGGGCGAAAGGACAGTAAGGGGAGGGGCCGAAAGGGAGGGAAAGAGAATCTGGGAAAAAGAGAGGTCCAGATGCTCCACGTGCGAGGCTCAGAGATAGAGCCGCTGAGACACACCCACAGAAAGGGCTGTGGCGTTCTGGGTCAGAGGCGAAAGAGCTCGCGACCGTGGTCTCCCCCCGGCGTGCCCCCTACCCCTGCCGGAAGCCTTCCCCTCATCTCACTGCCTCCCACGGGTCCTCACCTTGCAGGTTGCAGTCTCTCGGGCCGCCTCGCAGAAGTTAACTGGAGCCAACCCGGGGAGGTAGAAGGCCGCGCTGGGGGTGGCCTGAAGCCCCAGGAACAGCCACAGCCCCAGCAGCCACCTCAGCCCGGGGAGGGCGAGCCTGAGGCGGCAAGGGTTGGTTCCCACGCGGAAACCACGAGTACTCATTTGAGGAGCCGGCTCAGGGCTCGGGGGCGCACTACAGGCGAGATCTAACCAGTGAACGGGAGAAACGGATATGATAACTCGGCTGGTGGGACTAGAACTCCAGGGAAAGCCACTTAATTCCGACGAAACAGTGGCTTGGAACCCGTTGCTAGGGCGCCAGGCTGCCCATATGAGCACACGTAGTACGCATGCGTGCGTGTCCCCGCTAAATCTTCCACACACACCCCACCTTCCCCACTCCCCCCATCCCCCACCCACAGCCCGGCACTTTCCCGCGGTTCGAGGTGCCTCGGGGAGCGGAGCGGGGAAGGGGGGCAAGGGAGGCTGGCTGAGAGGTCTCAGCATGCAACATCACAACCAAACAGGGTGTTGTGTCCTCCCCGAGTTTGCCTCAGTCCCAAAGTAGCAGTGTTACCCCCCCATTTTCACTTTTTCCGGCGGGGTGGTGGGACAAGAATGGGGAAGAGGGGAAATTCCGGGGCCAAGCTGTCCAGTATGGTGGGTGTTAGGTGCTTGAAATGCAGCCAGTGCAAAATTGATGTTCCATAGGGCTAAGTGCACACCCAGTATCAGGGACTGCTTGGAAAAAGGAATGCAAACCTCTGCGTTTTTATATTGATTGCATGTCGAAACAATAATATTTTGGGTCAGTTGCATTGAATAAAACATTATTAAAATTAATTTCACCTGTGTTTTGTTTTGTTTTGTTTTGTTTTTGACAGACAAAGATCACAAGTAGGTAGAGAGACAGGCAGACAGAGAGAGGGGGGAATCAGGTTGCCTGCTGAGCAGAGATCCCAAAGTGGGGCTCAATCCCATGACCCTGAGATCATGACCTGAGCCGAAGGTAAAGGCTTAACCCACTGAGCCACCCAGGCATCCCCCACCTGTTTCTTTTTAAAGTATGATTGCTAGGGGTGCCTGGCTGGCTCAGTCCATAGAGAATGGGCCTCTTGATCTCAGAGTCATGAGTTCAAATCCCATGTTGGGCATGGAGCCTACTTTAAAATAAATATAAAAAAATAAATTGTGGCTGCAAAACATCTAAAATGACATGTGGCTCATGTCATATTTCTTTTTTTATTCATTAAAGCACTTTTAATATAAATAAATTCTGCGGAAATAATACAGCAAAACAAAGCCATGCACTGATACAAATTAACCAGTTCAGCTACTCGATATTTTTATGTTGTCTGTGATGATACGTGGATTGCTCAATGTGTAATAAGTTCTGGCATCATTCCTACCCAGGAGAGACAACTTTTATTTTACATTGATGACTTAAGTAGAATACGTTTATTATATTGTGATTCAATGGTAATCTGAAAAACCTTTAAAATCACCTTAAGAAAAAAAAGCACAGGGCGCCTGGGTGGCTCAGTGGGTTAGGCCTCTGCCTTCGGCTCAGGTCATGATCTCAGGGTCCTGGGATCGAGGCCCGCATCGGGCTCTCTGCTCAGCGGGGAGCCTGCTTTCTCCTCTCTCTCTCTCTATGCCTGCCTCTCTGCATACTTGTGATCTCTTTCTCTCTGTTTCAAATAAATAAATAAAATATTAAAAAAATAAAAAATAAATAAAAAAAAGAAAAAAAGCACAAAAAGAAAGAAAGAAAAGAAAAACATAATAATCACATCCTAGAGACTGTCAGGTGAACTTATCCTAAATATGTTCTTTGATGTGTTGTCAACACACAATATCACATCAATTTCAGGTGTACAACATAGTGATTCCACAAGTTCACTGGCATTCCATTTCTGTTGGACAGCTCATGTCTGGGAGAGGAGGGTGGAAGGGGCAAAGACGAAAGAAGAGGGAGGGAGAGGGAAGGATTGCTCTGTCTTTGAAAGAAAGTTTTTCCTCTCTTAGCTCTAGGGATCTTATTTTTCCACCTCTGTAGGAATCCTTGTCGCCCACCCTTCTGCTCCTCGTGCTGTCCTGTAATGCAAAGTGCTTGTATTTGGACCTAGACAGTAGTGTAGGCATCATACAACAAAGACAGCAGAAGAGCTGATCATTTTTCCTTCTTGTCTGTCAAGAGCTTTGGAGAACAAGAGGTCACTTGTGTATGCCGAGACCAGCGCGCCTCGCCATTCTGTCCAAGTTCCCTCGCTCCGAGAGGTCTGCGTCCTCTGTTGATTGGCAGCCTGCGATTCCAGGCCGAACGAAGGCAGCGAACCCGCGGTTAGCAGAGGCCTGTAGAATTTAGTGACTTAACTCCTGGATCAGAGACGCAGGAAAAGTGGCAGGAGAAAATGTACCAATGATCAGAATTCCGGGTATTGCAAGGGCGGGGAGAACGAACTTGACCACGCGGACTGGAGAGGCCCTTGTAAAGATTTGGAGAAGGGGATAAGGGGATCAGAAGGGGCACCACTTTTGTGAGGAGGAACAGGAAAGAGCAGTAGAGGCGTCAGGAATCGAAGCAACCAGAGCTTGAATAAAACTCTTGCGTGTTGCCACTCTGTTACCACCCCTCTCTGGTCAGTCTTTGGCTGAAAAATTGTACATGTTAAAATAAACGGGATGCTCGGCCAGCCTTCGAGGCCTGGGCCAGGACGTCTAGCGGCTGAGCTAGGGCCCTGCGGGCCGGGACTGCAGCGGGGACAGGGCGTCCTACTGACCGAGCCCGGGCGGCCCACCGAGTGCGGGGAACGTGCTCAGGGGGCTCCCCGGGGCTGGTGTGTCACCCAAGTCGCCTACAGGAGACCGGCCCCAGCCTCTAAGGAGACCGATAAGCTGGAAAGAGCAGCCGTCAGCCTGTTTGCGAGCCTTTTGGCCCCGTCCTTATCCTCATCTACCGTTCAAACTGGGGCTTTGACGTCTTCCATAAAAGCTGCTGTGAGGTGTCTGTTAAACCCAAGAAGTAAAGCATCACCGAGGGCTATGTCCCCATTCTCAGCAATAAGACACAGCCCTCCCGGTGTCCCCACTGTGTGATTGTCACCAGTTCCATCCACCTGAAAGCGGGGGCGGCGGGGGGGGGGGGGGGGCTCGTTCTGGTGGATTCTCTGTGCTGCCTGTGCTCCAGGAAGCCATTCACTAGGCAGGCCTGGCTGTGCTCGGCTCCAAGGCTCCCCTTCCCCCGTGCACCAATTTGAAGACCTCTTCCAGAGTGAGGCCTGACGGCCAACTGTAACTAGGGACATCTTTATTTATTCCTTTCCAGTTCCTATGCCTCATTTCTTGTTCTTGCCTTGTCCACTAAATAGGATTTCCAATAGGATATTGAATAGAAGTGCGAGCAGACATCCTTACCTGTTCTCCATCCCAAGGGGAAAGCAGTATGATACAGCTATAGGCTTTTTTTAAAAGATTTTATTTATGTATTTGACAGAGAGCACAAGCATACAAGCAGGGGGAGTGGCAGGCAGAGAGAGAGGGAGAAGCAGGCTCCCCACTGAGCAAGGAGCCTGCAAAGGGGCTCAATCCCAGGACTCTTGGATCATGACCTGAACAGATGACAGATGCTTAACGGACTGAGCCACACAGGTACCCCCCTCCCAGCTATAGGTGTTTTATACTTGTCCTTTATCAAGTTAAGGAAGTTCTTTTCTCTTCCTAGTTTGTTGAAAGTTTTTATCATGATGCAATATTGAATTTTATTCAATTTTTTGGCAGTGTTTCTTAGTAAGACTATTAATATGATGCATTACATTGACATTTAAATGTTGAATCAGTAATGTATTTCCAGAATAAACCCCACTTGGTTGGATGATATGTTAAAAAAAAAAAAAAAAAGCAACAACAAAACAAAGAGGGCTATGTTTTGGTATAGAATGCAAAATTTGCAAGGCTTTTAAAAGATAAAATTCAAGGGGCACCTGGATGGCTCAGTTGGTTGGGCAGCTGCCTTCAGCTCAAGTGATGATCTGAGGGTCATGAGATAGAACCTCACATTGGGCTCCCTGATTGATGGGGAGTCTGCTTCTCGCTCTCCCTCTGCTGCTCCCCCTGCTTGTGCTCTCTCACTCCTGCACTCTCTCTCAAGTAAATAAGTAAAATCTTTAAAAAAAAAAATTAAAAGATAGGGGCACCTGGGTGGCTCAGTGGGTTAAAGCCTCTGCCTTCAGGTTGGGTCATGATCTCAGGGTCCTGGGATCGAGGTCATGATCCCAGGGTCCTGGGATCGAGCTGTGCAGGCTCTCTGCTCAGCAGGGAGCCTGCTTCCTTCTCTCTCTGCCTGCCCCTCTGCCTACTTGTGATCTTAGTCAAATAAATAAATAAAATCTTTTTAAAAAATTAAAAGATAAAAGATAAAATTCAAGAGAGAGAGGCAAACCAAGAGACAGAGACTTAACTATAGAGAACAAACTGATGGTTATAAGAAGGTAAGTCGTGGTTGGGGGGAAACCGGTGCTAGGGTTTAAGGAGGGCACGTGTGATGAGAACCTGGTGGTGTATGGAAGTGTTGAATCACTATATTGTACACCTGCAACTCATATTACACTCTGTTAACTAATTGGAATTAAAATTAAAACTTTAAAAAAAGATAAAATTCAAAGAAATTAATTTCTTAATGTAGGCTATGCCAAACTCCAGGGAGACATGGGTTTTCCCTTCTGTGCCATTAGGAGTATTTTAGTGGAAAGTGAAGAATACATTATTCATTTTATTTGCTTACTTTTCTCTCGCGCTCTACTGAAAGTAAGCTCCTTAAGCACAGTATCCTTTTTTTGTCTTCATGTTCCTAGCACAGACCCAGGCACTTGGTAAGAGCACATGGAAGAAGAAAACTTTGTCTCTACCCTTCAAGGTTCTTTTGAGTGGTCTATGAATTACACAGACATAAGACAGATTAACAGGAGAAAAATCTAATTTAATTATGTACATATGGGGAATCCACAAAAAAATGAGAGATTTCAAAAACAGGAGAAAATGACGTTTGTGTTATTCTGGACTAAGGAGAGGGAGTAGGGGTCTGGGGCTTCAAAAGGAAGGCAGACAATTCACAAGGAATTGGAAAAGAGCAAATATTTTGTAAACATGTTTGCCAGGCTGTA